CATCTATACATTCCCGAGAGGAAAAGAGGAAGTCCAGGGACACCCTGTATATTACAAAAGTTGAAACAGTAATTGATATTTTCAAAAACTATCTACCAAATTATCTAGTGGGCTTCCAAAAACGATATATTGGGTGAAGTGGAATTTTATGAGGGGTGTAAAATTAACATGGTGCGTTAATATTTTGTTCATTCTTTTTTATTTCGTCGTCTATGCAATGTTTTTGAATGTTCATTGAAAATGTATAAATAATCAAGCATTCTGAACCAGTTTGTTGCAACAATGACCTGCCTGACAAACATTTTGTATTTTGTGTATTCCATAATTATAATGTTAAATGTCGTAATTCCTTCTTTCAACTGAGTAAAAAGAGTAAAATTTTCAGGATGCCTCTGTGGCTATCGGCCAACAAAACGGCGCAACCGGTACTTCAGGAGGTTTGGGTGAATTGTCACAGTCAGATCTCAGTTCATTGGTACCACCACTGCCAGAAGGCCATAACATGGCCGACGCTGAAGATATTTTCAAGCATTTATCAGACACCACTGCCATCGAAATCGAAAGTATTTTGAGCGAATTCAACCAAACCCCTTATATTAAGGTAAGTATAGGTATCACACACATCACTACATTTCTGTTGTATTAGGAAAAACAAAATTCGAACTGTGGTAGCTCATGGTCAAGAGGAACCAAGGGACCAAGTACCAAACGTTTCGACTTCTACTACGACAGACATCTTCACTGGTGTGGGAGTTGACTCAACAACGACTGGCACTTTCTGGTTTGGTATCACAAGTTCCTTTCAAGCACGGCCTGATAGACCGGATTTTGTTGTCTTCAACCATTGATTCAGCCGGGAAAACCCATGTTCTTATATTTGTTGAATTTTGCTAATGATTTCAAACTTACAATACTTTTATAGGTAGGACTCCTTCCTGTACACAGGATTGAATTGTTAGAATATGTATTCAGATCAAACCATCAACAGTGAACCTTTCCCGTTTTTACAACCAGCATGCTGGAATAGATTCTGTCATTCTTTTTCCAAAAGCAAGAAGCTTCAATAATCATTGACTAATCAGATTTTCCAGAGTTCGACAAATTCAATTCATTTCCCACCCAATTACTGATCTTTGAATCTTCTAAGCTTCATTTACTTCCGTATGTTTACAGACCAATTTTTGTAACTGCTTTCAAGATATGATTTCATTATTTCTTTTGAAAACTCCAATTCAATGAGTTGTTTATGATTGAAACTTTGAAGCTGTTTTCATTTTCTACCAAAACTGAATGTGCTAATTATCAACAGAAACATTCCATACAAGCCAGTATTTCAAAATATTAATGGTAGTAGTGAAAATATTACAGTAAACTGTAATAATTGTGAATTGTGATATGGATTTTAATCGAAATTCGGCCAGTTTCATGCAATTTTTGGTAGTGATTAGATAGTAGTTAGTTAGTTATAATATTCGTTTGGCACAGATAAGTCCCACCCTCACAGACTGTTTGCTAGAATTACTTAACGATATCCTTTGTCTGTTGTGAGACCAAATTATAAAAAAAGATCAATCTTATGATGTTATTCGACCCAGGTGGAAAAATGAATGCTAACCAGGACTTGTACAACGCAGCAAGGTGGTTTCATGAGACCCAACCTAACCTTGGAAACTCCAAGAACATGTATAGTAATCCAAATTACATACTATCGTCGATTAGCTTTTATAAAGGTTGTTAAATCAAATATGGCCAGTGGGGGAGGACCTGAGGAAATCTTTATTTGATGTGTGTATTTTACGATAGTTCTAAAATGACCAGAGATATGTAGAGCTAGTGAGGGACTGGCGAACAGACCGATCACTGCTCGTGATTGGCTGAGATGCCAGTGCACACCACCTGACCTAAGGTAGCACCGATTTCAATGAATGAATAGAAACACAGTTCATTTTGATAATCAACTTAGATATTCTAAACGTAGCCAATAAACTAACCTTCGTGAATACGAGACTTCGGGAAGTACTGGTAGTAACATTAGTAGCTATATTCATAAGTAACTATGTTCAAAAATGGAACCTGTCTGATGAGGAAAGTTGTTTGGATCATTACCAAATAAAATTCGAAACTGGAGGATGCCATATCTCGATCTCAAAACAAACCGTTTAACCTATAAAATAGATTTGGATATTTGCACGAACTTCAATACCAGTCATCTTTGAAATTGATAAATTGTGAATGATTTTATGAAAATCAATATATACGGAGTCCACATGTGTATGGCAGTCCAATTTTTTTGTGAACAAGAGTAAAAGGATTTCGATAGAGAAAGTAACCCAAATTAATCGTGTTGAATACATTTTGTTTAATTTTCGTACATAAACTCGAAAGATGAAAAAAATATTTTCAGTTCATCGAAAACATTCTAGATTTATAGGAATTACAATGAAAACGTTGATCAGTTTTGCTGTTTCTTGAAGAACTCTCAAATTCCAGAAACTCCCAAATTCCAAAACTCTTGGACTACAAAATCAATTAATGAAAACTGATACACACAAAGGCGGAAATTACTGACATCACGATAATTACCTCAACTACAATTAATTCATTTAACAGATCAATCCATAAAAATAAATAGTGAAATTTCATCTTCAGTTTTCATTATATTTTCAAATCTTCAATTTATGGTCGAATGTACCAATAAAACTGAACTCTTCAACATTTAATTAAGCTACTTACTTTATATAGTCACTTGAATTTACTACCAATTTATTTTATTTCCGCTAGTAAGTACTGCATTCATATTTGCATGTTAATGTATCACCACACGATATTCAAGTTAACTTCCAAACGTTTTATTTAGTTCATTTTATTCAGTTCATTTTAGTTCTACGTGCTGATTTTCTTTTTTAAATCATTGAATAATTCTGGAGTGTGCTGTAGTTTTTACAGATCTTTATGAAAAAATAACGAATGAAAAATTTTTGAATAGGTAGGTCCTAAGTGTGCGGATCTATTTGACCCTCTTCTGCAACACACGAGAATTTATTGTGGCTCACACCTGTTTCACTTCGACCAACTAGATCTAGCTTCTTAACAGAGCCTATTACTCCATTTGTTGAGTGATATTCCATATCAGCTGATGAGAGTAAGATTCTATCAAGTGCTAAAAACCTGATCAATCCTTGAAAAGGCACACACAGAGTATGTGTCCTGCTACCAGAACAGGAAATTGCCTTGTGAAGAATAGTCCACTCCAAGGTTGGAAGGCCATGGTAGTGAGGACCAGACAGTCTGCGACTAGTTTCGTCAGGTAGATAAGCAACACTTATATGTGACTTGGGAAGCAAGAGGCGATCTCCCATGGCTGCAGGATCCTAACTGCACTAACGTGCAGCTCTGAAATCGTCCTTTTGAACCATCTTCTGAAATATCCTCTCAGCCATATGTAGAGGATATTAAATTTTTTTATCAATATTGAAGTTGTCAGATGCAAGATTTCCACCGTAATTTCTGTGCGCTGAAAACCTTCCCTCATGATGGCATCTATAAATCAGCTGGTTATACCTGACAATACATCAGATTCAGTCATGCAGGGTCTTCTCGCTTACGGTTTGTCTGGAGGGTTGGTATTTACAGATCTGCACAGAGTAAGTTTCCTTTTCTAAGGCAGACTGTGTTTCTGCTGCTCAAGTGTTTGGTGCGAGGCCGATTTTCAAAAAATCCTGCCCTTGAGAAAGTGACTTAGTTTCAATGGGCAAGAATCAGTATGACAATTGTAAAAACTCTTTTTGGTTCGAAGTAAATTCATTCGTTTCTTTCTAATTCATAGAATCAATCATTAGAATTAATATTATTAGTAAAATGAGAAGAAATTTCCATGTATTTATCCTAATCTTAAATAACAAACAATTATATGAATAAAAAGCTCAAAAGTGAGGTGTGTCAAAAATACTGATAAATTGTAGTTACGCCTATGACGATCATGAAATTAACATTCAAACCACTAGATGTCACGCGCCTTTGTACATTCTCTACTCGCATTTAGATGTCGCCATTGTTTTTTGCTAGGTGCATGAAATTATATCCATATAAGATCCTTAATATATGAATATAATATTCGTATCGATAAACTTTCGAATTGCTTCTATTCGTTACAACAGTTATTGATTGATTTGTAAAAATCAATTTGTTCTGACCGTAACCGTTAGTGATTCGTTACTTTCATCAGAAATCTCATTTCATGTTCAAGCAGTAGGTAGTTGACTAATCTTGTTTTAAAATGAAATTATTATTCTACAAATCTCAGACATTACCTAGCCTTTGTTTATCATGAACCCACATTTTTTTCTACAGAAATTGTGTATTTGAGTTAATATATCATGTTTTTTTTTGTTATTCTTTAAATGACGGTTGTGTCGCTGTTTTCACATGCTGCCCTCTATGATCTGATATTCTTACTATAATACCCACCTTCGTTCGTTCTGCACTCTGTTGACGTATAGCTGAACTAACAACCGATTCACTTTTAGCAAGAAGAAAACAACAACATCCCGAACTGCAATGACGACTCGGTTAGCAGTTCGCACCACAGCCAGAAGAGCGCGCAGGCCTTGTTAGAGATGAGAAAATATACGATCGCGGCCGCAAATCCCATCCTCGCTGAGAAACTATCGACGCCCAGTGAGCAGAGTCTGCAACCGCTAGGTTCCAATGGAAGATCACAGCTGGCGCTGCTGACACCGAAAGTTGAAAAAGGTAAATGATGAGAAATTCTTAGAGAATTATTTGACAATGAATAAGTTTGTTGAGGTTTCGGAAACAATAAGGTATTGAACCTACGAAACAGAAGGCACCATTTAACCGAAAAGTTGGTTTCAATTAATGTACTTATGACTGAAAAATCATAAGAAAAAGGAAAAATGATGGTTCTATCCTTAGAATTTTTGGTTCAAGGATGCATTTGATTTTCTCGAGCCTCTAATTCAATCGGTTTACCATAAAAATAACAATAATTTTCTGGGTGCGAATGAACCCGATTATTTCTTAAATAACATATGATATGATGAAAGAGGTTCAAATTATATAATTGACTGCTAAAAAAAAGATATTTTTTTCTTGTAAAAGGTGTTTATTTTCATACTGATTGTTTCAAATAGTATTTTTCACTTTCCAGTAATTTTCAAATATTTTGTAAATATTATTTGATGTACCTACCCACTATCGAAATCTTCGCAAAAACCAAATCGGTTCATAATCTTTGAGAAAAACGTGTTTATATACAGATCAAGCCATAAATGTCAAAATTTTCTTGATAAAAGATATTCTCTCTATACTTCTGGACACGAGGCTAATGACCAATGTAGTCGATGCCGATGACACCAAGAAAAAAAATATTACCCATTACATGCTTGGAAAACAGTAAGACTTATAGGATTATGAGAAAAATAAAATGTCAAGTTCAACTCGGAAGCAGGAAATGGTACTGAAATGGCTCTTTTGATGTATATTTATTACCAAACAATATTTCAGAATATATGCAATTCGGGATTGGTATGAAAACATAAATTCAAAAGCTATCAGGCTTAGTTAGGAAACATTTCAAAATTCAGCTACATTCAATCCATCATTTTTTTGAAAGACTATTCGATGAAGTATTAGAATATCTTCATACTGACATATTCATTTTTAATGAATTCTATAGTTTGAAGATTGGGGTTACTCCAAGGAATTTTTTATTTACACTAAAATAAAACTCCACAATAAAATGACTGTGTTCTAGTTGACGTCATGATTATTAATTTGAATTAAAAAAAATCAAACTTCATTGACAAAAAACTGGTTATAATTATCAACAACGACAAATTCTGATTACCTTAAGGTGTTGAGTTATTGGTAAAGTTCACAATCTAATGACAAATTCCGGAAAAACATTCCGTTGTTTTCTTTTCTGAATGCTCCAATGANTTTATTATCTACCGAAGCTTTGGCTAAATCTTGGTGGCACTCTAGTACTAACCCTGAGGTAACACGTTTTCTGTTCAGGGCTGATAGGGCTTGTCTGCTATCAGTGCAGATTGTTATGTTTTTACCAGAAATTCCTTTCCTGGTTATTTATTTTGTGACGATTGAGATACCAGCCGGTTCTGTTTGAAACACGCTGGTATTTTTTCCCCATTTAATCCCCACTTAATCCTTAGGCTTAGTGATCTGGAGTACAAGGCCTAATACACTCAAATGTTTTGAATTTGAATGATTTCTAGGAAACAAAAGGTTGCACTAAACGGTTACTCGTCGAAAAAAAAAAAATTAGCAATAGAATGTTGAATTGATTTTCTCAAATAAAGATGGTTAAATCGGAATTGTTCTGTTTTGTCAACTGCATGTTGAGAACCCTTGATTTACCAATTTTTCCCGTAAATATAGAAATGAAGGCTTTTACGGCTGGCGTCAATGTTTTGGTTGGTTTCCGTGTGTTGCAGTGATCTCTTTTGGTTATAATCTTCAATAGTTTCAACTACAACTGCGGCAGTCATCTTCAGAGGCGTGGTCGNCATTTTTGTTAATTGTTATGTTACCAGACAATTTCATCAAATGCTTCTTGTAGCTCCCGACAAAAATTGTGTTTATCAAAATAGTTAATTTAGAATATCACTTTTGTACTATAATACATACAGTGTCATCCCCAACGTATGCACCATATGAGAAACTTATTTATTAAGGGTTTTTCGACAAAAAGTTATTCTTGATAAAAGTTTGTATATCCCCTAAAACTAAACATGCACCAACAAAATACTGTAAAACACACGTAATATACGAGTAATTGTGTAACCACGGTCAATTTTCCTGTCCAAAGTAATTCTCCAAAATAATCTCCAGAAAATCAATGAGTTTGTTCCAAAGTACCTAGTTTATTTTAATGTTTTATGATTTGATATCATTGAACAATAAGTTCTTGTTACAATACTGCACAATTTTGAGTAATTTTTGGTGTTAACAAAAAATAAAAATAACTTTGCACCAAGAATTTTGAAAATTATGTTACTTTTCAAAAAAATTGACCGTGGTTAACACCATAGTTGTGTAATTCGTAATATTACAGGCTTTTGAAATAAACCGTCGTATACAGGATGCTGTCTATTTATCATTTTAGCAAAAAAAAATTCATATTCCCCTTAAAAAAAAAAGGGTTAAAAAATTAAACTTCACTCAGATGGCCATGACTTTCAATCTGGATGTCTTTCAATGCTGAACAACTTTTTCAAATAACATTTCCCAAGATTTTTCAAAATCAAATATTTGAAAGCTCCTTGTATATTACGTGTGTTTTACTGTATTTTGTTGGTGCATGTTTAGTTTTAGGGGATGCACAAACTTTTCTCAAGAATAACTTTTTGTCGAAAATCCCTCAATAAATATGTTTCCTTTATGGTGCATACTTTGGGGATGACACTGTATTACCTGGATTGTCAGACAAAAATGTATTTATTATATTTCTCTGGTGTTACGCATATTGTTATGCTTTCCCCATGGATTCACCAATAATTGACCGAACAACCGACTACACAACTGACTACAATAATCAAAATCAACTGTAATTCACTGTTGATACAACCAAACACTTTAACTGAAACTGCAACTGTTATTCAATTCATCGGAATTCGCCGGAATTCCGATGAAGCCCCATGAAGCATTATTCTCGAAGCAACGCCGCGTCTAGAACGGCCGCGAGCGCACGTCGAGTTGAGTACGTCACAAATGATTTATGACGACCAGCGTCGGCCGGTCTTATTTTTTTAGGGGACGATTCACAACAATATCTAGGGTATTTTATTAACGCTTCCTATCTTTGAATTGAAATAAATCAAATTGTGAGTGAAATATCATCGAAACTTTTTATTTGTGTGAAATACCTTATGATGCCATCATGTGTGGAATAGCGCACTGTTCAAATGTTCGCCACGGCTTTTCTGGGGCGCATAAATCAGGCTGAATTTGACCGATGGCATGGGTTATGTTGACTTTGAGGACCGCTGTTGTTTGTGGCTTACTCACATACACTGTTTTGACCTACGATTATTTTATCGTGAGTATGAATGCTTAATGCACACAAGAATTACAATAACTATTGTGAAAAGGTAGAATAAGGAAAATAACTGGCAAGATATACTGTAGTCAAGACAATATTCATTCTAACTGTACTCTTACAAGGTTCAAAACGTTATGAATGATTTTATAAAAGCAATGTTTCACATCGGTAGTTTGAGAAGGGGTTCAACATAGATAGGAAAGGTCATAATAACGGGTAATGGTAAGGTAAGGAATGAAAAATCTAACTATTTGTAGCTTACAATATTTCCGTAGAAAAAGTCCTAAATATACGGGTTGCTTACGTGAAGATATTCGGAAATTTTTAATTTCATGAGGATAAGTGGATTAGAAAAGACCCGTACATTAGAAGACCAACTAAAATACCTCAATTGGGGTACCCTTGGGAATAATGAAAAAACTAAATAACTCAAACAAAATAAAATTAATGCCATAAAATAATCTACTTTGTTAAATAATTTTTAGAGCTGGCCACTCTATTTACCGATAAAATTCATTTTAAAATGTTTTATACGCACTGTTCGTATTGAACAGGAAGTGTACATGGGTCAAATGTTAAAACGCAACGGAGGATCCGAGACTGATCATTATGCCATGATTGACGTGATATGTGCCCATTGTTTTGGTTTGAACGAATACTTTGAATGTATTCCACAAAAACAACTTTTCATTAAGGTCATAGCTGCTATTGCATCATATTAACTTTTTTCTTAGTTTTGTTTTGATTCAATTTGAATGTGTTTATATTCAATGTTGTTGAAGATGTGCAATAGTTTTATAAAACCTCAATAGATTTGCAATAATAGTTTATTTTTATTCATTTGAATAATTTCGATGANAACTATATTTATTTTTTACTTTCAAGTTTCATATGCTATAAAAGCGTGGTTTTCAGTTTTTTAAACTATATTTATTATTTTGATTTTATTTTGAATAACCTAAAGGAGGTTACGTACAGCGCCATCTGCCCGTGAATAGATCAAAAAATATCAAGTAGGTTACGTGCAGTGCCATCTGCCCGCGAATAGATCAAGACATATCAAGTAGGTTACGTGCAGTGCCATCTGCCCGCGAATAGATCAAGGAATATTAAGTAGGTTACGTACAGCGCCATCTGCCCGCCAATAGATCAAGCAATAATGCCGATAATTCTGTCAATACAGATCCCGAGCTTGAGAGTTACAAACAAACATACATACAAACATACATACATACAGTTGAAGCTAATATAAAGCATGTAAAAACCAGTAGCTAATTGCGTTTCGATAGTCTGTAACATTTCCAAAACTTCCGGTATAATATCAAAGAAGGACGAGACAGGAATTCTACTGGCCCCTCTGCAGTGAGAAGAAAATCAGAAGAACCCAGCAGCGTCTACTGCAAAAAAATCAAATTAATCCCAAAAAAATTCAGAAAACCAAAGTTGACAAAATGTTCGGTCACCTGGAAATTGAATGTTTCAGCAAGACGAAGAACAGAATCCGTGTAAAAAATGGTAAATACAAACCGTGGCATAGTTGGTTGCAGATGAATCTTTAGAGTAAAATATCCGAGGATGAAAGTATGTTATGAGAAAAGTCCGACGTCTTGCAAAAAAGTTTCCAAAAGTTTCATTATTTAGTAACAATCATATTTGAATATATAATTCAGTTAGTTC